TCTCTCAAAGCCACGTACGACCCCTCCCCCTCGCTAGGCGGAATAAGTACGACCCCCCCGATGTGTTTCACACAACGATGCTGTACCCTGGTTGCTTGATCCTTTCCCAGGATGCGCCGCGCATTCTGCTGCCTTTCAGAATCGTGATGGCATTTTGTAAACGGCTTGGCATTCACAATGAGTTGCGGGTTGTTGCACAAGTCATTGTTTTTATCCCTCCGATGAAAGGTATGGCCACTTAACAGAGTTCAGAAGGTGCATTGCTTGGTTGACACAGAAGGGAGCCGTTCTGAGATATGCGCTCCATGACTGTGGGCATGATATCTGACGCCTCTTGCCACTACACCATCTTCTCCCAATGTTTCGAGAGTATTATGCTGCATAGGACTCAAATTGTCCACCAGTGCGCGTCAGGTACCTTTTGGATCATGGTTTTTCCTGTCCCTACCCACCTCTTCCCCCTTCTCTCGCTTGACAGCAGTTTTGTGGGGGAAACTTGCCAGAAGAATATTTGGAAAAGAAGAAAGTACCGAGTTGGGACATTCAGAAATATAATAGGTAGGAGGGGGGTCGTATTTTGCAAAAATTTTCCCAAACAACAGGAAGTGCCGTGTTCTCCTCAGTTTATCGGACGGACCGTGAGACTATGTAGCGTAACCCGGAGCTAAATAAGGAAACAGTCGAGTTTCTTTTCCTGGCAAATTCAACCGCACATTGTCAAGCCCTTGATTGCCCCGCTCTCATACCCTGGGAAGAGAACCGGCTGTGTGGTTCACTTTAAAGGCTCAAGTAGTGGTTGAAAAGAAATCATACATAGCGGATAGTGACGTTGCAGCTGAATACGTCAGAAAAAGCTCTATGTTTCCGGAACCGTGTAATTGCGTGCACTGTAAAAATGATACGATATTGTTTGAATTCTAAAAATTAATGTCTCACCGCCATATTTTCCCGGAAACGTAGACACGTCGACTCTTCCCACATACGAATACCACGGCGAATGAGATTTTGGAAGTTATCTGCAATAATTAGCTTGCTGGAAAGCACCAAAGAAAATAGCTAAGGAAATTGCCAGCAATAATCAGCCTTATAAAGTTTCCATTTATTTGTATAAATGATTACTTAATTATGTCTTCAAAGGCAGT